CAGGTTTCTTTTTCCACTTATTTTCGTAAAATTTTTCACCACAACCAATGTATAATGCATCACAGGACGCCAATAAGTTAAAAGTAAATGATCAACACGGAGGCATTTTGTAATACAGTAATTTGATATGAGTAGGGAAAGCCTGCAGAGAGCGAAAATTATAAGCTATATTCTGTTGATGAACGTATAAGGAAAACGAAACCACGGAAAAGTTGATATCATTTCATTTTCGTGGAGAAATGTATATACAGTGTATGTAAGACATATTGTTAATAATTTCTGATAAAAATGTTACAGAATTGATGTTCTTTAAACAAACACCAGATAGTACCTTGCTGCCATGTATAGATCACAAGCTCGGCCTGATTTCACTGTGATTATCACCATATCGTCACACTACTTTTTACTTAATTTTACATCAGACGAAAGGTCCTGTAACTTCATTAACGTCTCGCACACTGTGTACCTCGGTGCAGATGCACGTCAAATTGTGTCTGATGCTGGTGAGAGTGTAAAAAATTCCAATATGTATTTGTACGTAATGTATTTTCACTTATACGTCAAGATAGAAATTCGAATTCAAATGAAACATATCGATATAATTTGAGATGTTGTGTTGCGAATTCGTCGTATTTCCAGTATTTCTTCCGGCACAAATATCGTTTGACGTTTTTCTTTCCACGTCTCATAGCATTTTGATATTTTAACATGTGTAAGAATATACTGTGTTACGTATAAATCAAAGCAATGATTTTTTATATAACATTGAAAGCAAATATTTTCACATCACGGACAACACACAAACACCAGTCTTCAAGATAAAAAAGAAAAAAAACCGGTTCTGTCTATTCCATTTTCGATCAATAATCTAACAAACACGTTTTTACTCTCGGGGTCAAAATCTAGGGCAATGTTCTAAAACCCGATATAAATATATATTAATAGTCACATGAGATCCAGCAATATATTATCCTTATTGAAGAAATTTTGTTTTCAATCCCCTTGAGATTAATTACGGTTATGAAATGGTGCTAAACCCTTCTCCGTTCTGCAAAACAACATGCTTATATATACTTAATCCCATTTCGGAACAAAAGGTAGAGTGTAGTAGTTCGAAACGAAGACGGAAAGCAATTTTCCGGCAGAATAAATAGGCGATATGACCAGCTCTACTAAGCAGTGAAGTGAAAAATTAGAAGGTTTGTGTGACAACTTGTTTTCGAGTTGTCTCCGTTTCCATAGAGATTTCTGCGTTACAAGAACCGGTAAATCTCAATCTCGAAAGATCCTGAGTGCTGTCAAAGTTTACACTATACAGAATACATTCTAAGCCTAAACATTCCGCCATGCAGAACATGCACATAGGCGATAGTCACGTTCCTCAGACCTATATGTAATGCAAAAATCTGCAGTTGGCGGGATGCTTGTCTCGATTGGTTCAAATGTCCATCTAATTGGAATGGAAGAGACGTTAAACACATGACTGTAAGACACGAAAGGAGTGCTTTGGACTGCCCGACACCGAAAACACAATAACACTGTCTATCTTTACAACCAAAATTGAATATCTTCCTGCAAGATCAAAGTCAGAAGTATTGACTGTGACAAATAACGCTAATTATGCACATGTTCAAATCATGTTTGACGTTGATCTAACACCCACTGTGTGCTTGTGTGTGTGTGTGTCCTGGTGGGGGAGGTGAGGCTAGACGTCCAAGAAAAAAAAAGCTCTAAATTTGTCATTGTGTTCACACATAGAGACATTGTCATGGTCGTAATGCTTAGGAGGTTGTTCGTCAAACACATCTCGTATCAATTACTGGTGTTATGGAATCCACACAATTCCTGATGGCTCTTCACGTCAGCGAGAAGGCTGCTCTTGAGTGGTTGTACAGTTCTGATAGTCGAGAATCAAATTTACTTACTGTTCCTTTCGTTAAGGTGTTATATACAGTATCGTAATCTTACGACGGACTGGTGTCTTGTACACTGTTGATGTAACCACTGTTGGCTATGTACATGTACTTTGAATAAGAATTTGATAAGAATGATGTCTCATTGTAATTTCGCTTATCATTAATTCACATTTTATATGTAAATGGATTAATGGTTGTTATTTTGAAATAAAAAACTACTACAGTACAAATATCGTTTAAGTTGGTTTACATGACATTCACAGAAATTCGAACTCAATGTTTGAACAGTATATATGTATGTCTGATGTTATATAATTGATTACTCTAGTATTGTGGGTAATTTATCCGTAGAAATTAACATAAATAAATAAGAATAAATTAGTAAATAAATACCGGTAAACAATCAATGAAACGCATGTACTTATCTAGGAGCAGTATATTCTTTCACTTTGCTGTTCGTGTATAAGAGAGAGCAAATGACATGTCCATATAGGCAGATGTAAGTAAGGGAGTCGATATGTCCGTCCATAACTCTACAGGAAAATAGGATTTGATGTGGCTTCATAGAAAATAAGTAAGGTGCATGTACTTAAAGGAACATCCGTCGTTAACAACCGTCTACAAAAGTCATCGACACACGAACACGTGTACGTACGAACGGTTATATATAGACCATACCCCCGTTCAAAATTTGCTGCACTCAACAGACGGACGAACCGACAGACATGTATTTTATGTACCGCATAGTATCCATTTCATTTGGGATTTAATGGGACGAAATATTTCAAATTTCATATTTAGAACTTTTTGTAAAGAACGGAAAGACCATGAAAAATTACATATACAAAATAATGTTTGTCAAAAAGTGGATATTTTAATTTTTGTAAGATTGTATTATTAGCGCGAGGAAATAACCCACGGCGTTTCACGTTTTACTGTTGAGATCGAACAATATAAAACCTGCCTGTAAGGAATAGCTTGTGACAGTTTATAGATTTCAGATAGGAAAAAATAGAAGGCGATGGAGAAAAAGTACCAGGCATATTTACTGATGTATGCCTGAATTATAAGATAGTCTGTGCCAAGGAAGATAACTCTTACAGATATCATTCAGTGTTGCGTACAAGATAGCATATACCCTTAAAAGAACTTCAGATGGTTACGAGCTATTTTTGAATACTGAACTACTTAAATTATATGATAGCCTGTGCCAAGGAAGATAACTCTTACAGATATCATTTAGTGCCACGTACAAGATAGCGTATACCCTTAAAAGAACTCCAGAAGGTTACGAGCTATTTTTGAATACTGAACTACTTAAAATAGTTCTTTGAAGAAAGAAAAGGTCGTGCTAAATATCACACTTACGTAATTGAAATAAACAACCACTGATTTCAATTGATTAAAAAGAAATGATCAAAGTGTTGCCTTGAATACATATATATCTAATTTCTCAAGGACTTTCCGCCTCCAGTAGTTTCAATGCTTCAATGTCTGTGGGAAAATTGTTAGTCTTTTTAAAAAATTGATTGGAAAAACAAAGATCAAAGTGTCTCCTTGAGTTTGTTCAATTTCCTAGGTTTATTTTGTCGCATAGAAGTTACATGTATTTAACATCTCTTGGGGGTTTGTTTTCCAAGTTGAATCCCCGGACAGCTCGTAAAACTTATTTTCAAATTGTCTCCTTTCCTTTTAAGATACTGCTGTTGCTAGGTCTGTAACAGTAGATCGACCATGGCTAATAGTAGAAAAGGTCATGAAACAGGAGTCGATATCACTATAGCCTAGGACTAATGTGATTCCATTTTATTTATGTTATTGTCTAAGTAATCGAAAATTCAATATTGCAATGAAGATCAAATCAGAAATAAACGTGTTACTGAACCACCCTGGAGTAAAGGGGGCGTCGTATTCGACGTGCGGTAGATCCGATTAACTTCGTCAAAAACACATTATCACCTACTCATGCGTCCGATTTTTATAGGAAAACTCTTAGGAAACCGACACATTGAAAGTCAGGTCAAATTCAAATTTAGATATGAAGTTACATTCAGATTTTAAAAAATAGGTTAATTTCAAATTCAAGCATGGAGTAGACAGATGCTGTTTTCAGTTTTACGAAAATCTGCAAAAGCCCCTCCCCACCCACACCCCACACCCCACCCCCACCCCCATCTCATGTACGTCATACAATAAACATACACGATTCAGAGAGTCTGTGTCTCATATTTACCGTAACAAATGACATCGGCTACAGTTTGCGATATTATAAGTACCGACAGTGCTGTTAATTACTCTGTGGCATATTCTGTAAATCTTCTTTCCGTTTTCACGGTCTTCATAACGATCTCAAATATGACCGTTCTATGTCAAACTGGTAGTTTAGAGATATAATATAACCCGTTTGAATCAATACACGCACAATCTATACATAAGATCATATTATTTTTTACTTTTACGACAAAAATGCACTTTTATTCAGGATTCGGAAAGGAGATAGATTGTGTTTCCCTGAATGGGAGAGTGAGGCTAATTTAAGGAATATTTATCCAGAGTGATGGTTTTTTTTCGCGAGGACATGTAAGAAGTCATGTTGAAACTCCGTGAGCCGTCTTTGTGTATACAGAACATAAATAAGTTCTGTCACGTCAATATGAACGCAGAGGTCTACTAGAAGGAGGAGGGTAATATCGACCCAACTATCTCATTTGTGATATAACACCTTTAGGAATTGAGGGGCGGGGCTAACATCGTTGCGTTGAGCCAATCATATTAATGGTATCATTGAAGAGCTGAGTTAGATATAATGGGTGTACAACGATCACTACACGTGTTCTGTGCTGATGAAGCAGGCTAGCTGTACGATATGTAAAGATGTTGTGAGAGAAAACTTTACCAGTTATATAGTCGATAATTGCGAGCCCACCTAGTGTGTTTTATGTGTGCAACACACGTGAATTTCATGGACGGTGGATGAAATTTCAGAAGTAACGCGGATACTATTCAGAAAGGATTTATATTTAACTGAAATGAAAAGACATCGCTTGTAGACTTGGATGTAGTTCTAAACGAGCACGTGGCCTTATGAAACAGCATCGGTTTGCGTTGATCGACTTCGATCTTTGGAAAGCACTGATTGCTCGCCCTATATCAGGTATGGCGCAGTACAGTACTAGTCTTAATTACCTGGTGAACCCCTAGTAGCTCTTTCCTACACTACTATATTTCAGAACAAAGCCTCACGACATTATCTCCTGTAAAAGTTTTGCGGTTTATACGCGTTATGAATATTTCAGATATGTGTGGTATATATCTGATTTGAATACTGAATTCCGAAGTTGGCGTTTTACATTGGTATTTAATTGTCTGTCACAAAATTCTGATTATGACTCGTTCCGGACCTACATTTCCCGAAAGTAGACATTTTTAAACACGAATTAAGAATCATGCAATAAGGTTATGGAACTTTTCTATTTCATGACGTTTATTTTGTGTGGGATATGTTTGGACTGATATAAAAACCTTGTTTTACGGTCACAATACACTTTGTTAATACTGCATTGGAAAGCTTACATACCAGTATCTTATATACATGTATAGTTTTATTTTTATCTCGTGTGTACATTTGAAAACGATACATTTCAAAGTCATCATTTTATGATTGACGTTTACTATAAACACCCCATATAGGTATATGATGAATTAACAATTCTTTTGTAACGACATAGTGTTATTAAATGTCTTTGTCACTTGAAAGAGTATCAACGATAGTCTTACTAGTTTTCAAATTTCATCACATTATGATATGATAATGTATTAGGTTTTGTTTGCTTGTTTGCTTGTTTGTTTGGTCAATGACGAATATCTAAAAAGAGTAAGCACGAAGCATTTATTGTAGAATTTTGAATGGTAACATTTATAACGAGTAAAAACAAAATGTCCACAGACTAGCTCTGAACTTGTGACATGGTATCGATCAATACAAAAAAAAGAAAAGAGTATTTGCCGAACTTGTTAGATCTCGTTAGACTAGGGAAACAGGACAGACAGCAAAGCAAACATTCTCGATTTCTTGCCATGAGTAGTTTGATCCTTTGACGTAAAGCCTTTTCGATTTTTGTCTCCGACAGATTACAGATCTACCTGCAATGACAAAGCTGTGGTGATTCTGTTGAGCGCTCTAGCCAGCTCGGAACAGTACAACGCCAACATATACTTCATACAGAATTTCGTTTTCCATCTTCGCTCTCAATGTTTCTTGGATCTTTCAGACGACTCCAAGTAGGCAGCTAATTTACGTAAAGACAACAAACTGAGAATTCCACGGGCATTGATTTATTCTTAAGATAATCCGGAACTTTGGTCCGAACTTTATTTCGGTAGTATGCTGACCTTGAAAGGAATTTAGACGTATTTCTGTACCCGGAATTTGTTTTTTTTTTCTTTAAAAGTGTGTGATAGCGCTTTGTTTTAATAGCGCTACTGTCAAGCAACATGATGAGTGTTCGGTCAATGTTTAAAATATGCTGGGGAGTATCATTTCTATCATACACAGCAAGTATAGTAGTGAATTACACAGCGGATACAATGCCGACTTCATTTCAACTGACAAATTATTCAACTGAAGCCTCGCATACGACTACTCCGCGGTCGACTGACCCCAACGAGGACGTTGTCGCAATGTTCTTGGAACAAGTCGAAAAATACGAACAAAATAAAGAAAATTGTACTACAGGTACTCAATACAATCTCGGCAAAGGTGTCATTCAGCAGTATGGAAAAAACAGATTCAAACCACAGGCACTGGTATCAGTAAACCGCGCCAACTTCCTAACTAGAATTTGGCGCGAAGCAGAATCGAAAGTAGTCGATTCGGAATACCTCTTTTATTCGCAAGTGCGCAATATGTTGGAAGGTGACCCTGAAATATTCGCAGCTGGAAACTGCTACGACTATAAGGAATTTAAAAGTTATATAATGTTTTGTCCGTATGCATATCGTACGGATGACGGAACAATTAATGTGAAGGACCTTTCCATTGCGTATCCCTATCTTGGAAATGATTCCGAATGGTTCCATTCGGCACGCATGCGAGCTAGCAAAGTTCATAACTTCAACTACACCATAGGTAAGTAAACCTTTTTCTTCCTGATAAATGATTTAACTGCTTCTGCGTTCATGCATACAATATACAAGCAGCTCTGTCGTTCTTCCCAGATAATCAATTCCGACACGCATGGTTAGCCTTCTGTGCTGAGAACATATAGGTACATGTAAGTCATGGCCTCACAGCTTAGAGTCAACTTGCCTACAACGAGAACCTGTTTAAAAAGACGCCCTGTTTATAACGACACCATTTATATGAGATGATCTGTCTATAGCAACACCTTGCATACCTAGTAAAAACACCCTGTGAAACAAGACGTGTCTATAAAGACTACTTACCTTTAAAGAGACCTATCTATGATGACTGAACACCTGTAGAGAGTTGTATAATTATACCTGTTCATGATCAATAAGAATCCAGTTTTTGAAAAATCCAGTAGATATCTCGAATAATCAATACTTACAGCAATATGCCCAATAAGACATGTGTATATAATAGGCACAGGACTCGCAACTGTCTATAACGACAATTGTCTACAATAACTACTTGTCTATAACGGTCATCGGTTTTATGAAGACAGGCAGTATAACTGCATGTAAACAAACTTATTTTTCGCAGATGTTTTTGGATTATAACATATTAATTTTCTGTCCGTAAAAATTGACTAAATAACATTTTTTTCACAAGAACCAACATTCTCTACTGACAAGACAGTTCAATACAATAAATATTTTCTATAGCTACATCTTGTATCTGCTGATAAGGGTCATCTTTCTGTTAAAATATCATTATCTATCGGTCGTTTCTGTATCAAAATGCTGCTATCTGTGAAGACCATATCTGTTAGCTACCCGTCGATAACGGTCATCTCTCGATCAAATATTGCTATCTGTCGGTAATCAGGTGTTATGACGATAACGGCCATTACTCTATTAAAGTTAGCTACCTGACAATAACTGCACCTTTCCTCCACCAACTTTCCTCTAATAATCGATAATGGCCATCTCTATGTCAAAATTCCACTTTCTGTCAATACCGATCATCTCTATAACAAGATTCCACTTTATCTCAATACCTAACATCTCTATGTAAAAAAAAAATCCACCATCTGTCTATACCGACCATCTCTGTGTCAAAATTCCACCATCTTTCAATACCGACGATCTCTGTGTCAAAATTCCACTTTATCTCAATACCGACGATCTCTATGTCAAAATTCCACTTTCTGTCAATACCGATCATCTCTATAACAAGATTCCACTTTATCTCAATACCTAACATCTCTATGTAAAAAAAAATCCACCATCTGTCTATACCGACCATCTCTGTGTCAAAATTCCACCATCTTTCAATACCGACGATCTCTGTGTCAAAATTCCACTTTATCTCAATACCGACGATCTCTATGTCAAAATTCCACTTTATCTCAATACCGACGATCTCTATGTCAAAATTCCACTTTATCTCAATACCGACGATCTCTATGTCAAAATTCCACTTTATCTCAATACCGACGATCTCTATGTCAAAATTCCACTTTCTGTCAATGCCGACCATCTCTATAACAAAATTCCACTTTATCTCAATACTGACCATCTCTATAACAAAATTCCACTTTATCTCAACACTGACCATCTCTATATCAAAATTACTCCCTCTGTCGATACCGAACATATCTATATAAAAATTCCACCATCTGTCAATACATACCATCTCTATGTCGAAATTCCTCCATCTGTTAATACCGACCATCTCTATGTCGAAATTCCTCCATCTGTCAATACCGACCATCTCTATGTCAAAATCCCACTTTCTGTCAGTACTTACCATCTCTATATCAAATCCCACTTTCTGTGAATACCGACCATCTCTATATCAAAATCCCATTTTTTGTCAATACCGACCATGTCTCTATCAAAATATCCTATACCTGTCGATAACGACCATCTGTCTATTGAAGCTTAGCAACTGTCAATAAAGGTCACCGCTTTATCAAAAGCGACCTATTTACCGAACAAGCTGTTTGTTACGGAATGCTGATATTTCCCAAAAGGATCCGGTTGACTGTTGCATGCGAAATATTTATGTATTTTGTAGGACCTGTAGCAAAACGTCAATAGTTACAGTTATTCTAAACCGCATCCGTGAGGACTAGTAGCTCTACAACTTACCATTGTCATTTTTTTACTCGAAGTGACAAAGAGCGTTGACTTGTTGTAAACTTTAAAGAACAGCAACGACAGCACAAGTACTCTGACTATTACTCTAACTTTATTTAAATTATGTGTATACTTTGTTGCATGGTGGTTAGACTATCGCGCCTAATAGCACCACAAGTACTGTAAGATGCAAGCATTTCTACGGTAGCATGCCAAGCCGTTCGTATGTTCAGTTTTTAAGACTTTAAGATTAGATAAAAGGAATATGAGGAGAAATGACATGGTTATGTATTGTAAATTTATTACTTAATATACCCGTTCATCTAAATAAGAATACTATTTAATCTAACGACTGAATTTAGCATCAAACGTGATAGTTTAAATGCTGATTCTTTCTTAAACATGATACCCTCCTCTCTACCACCTCCCCCCAAACCAACTTCCCTTGCATCCCCCCGATAACTTATAAATAAACAAATCATAGGATCTGTGGTGTGAAATGCTTTGTCGGAACACATCAGCCTCTACACCAATGTCAATGATAGGATTCACTGTTCTGATTTTGAAGATCAAGGCTAAAACGATCCTCGGGACACCTTGGACGTCAACGCCTTGTTACTTATAAACTGTTAATTTTGTTTTGTTTATTTTACATAAGAAATACTATCGTTCATCTTAAGATACACAATCAATACTTGTAATAAAAAAAACATTTACCCGTGTTGGTATATCACATTTTTTAAATAAGGATTTTTATAAAATATATTTATAGATTCTAGGTTGTACGCACCCGTTACGAAGACGAGGTTTCTAGCAAAAGTAAACAAGACGGGTCCTTGGGATTTGGCTGGTGTAATGTTCTGATACAAATCGATTACAGTGTCTGACTTTAGAGTGATTGGCAATTGCGAGCCGAATAGACCTTATGCAATGTGTATCTATGAGGAAATGATTTTTTTTTTAAATACGTCGTCGCTTTGAAGGCCAACCTGAGTGCAATCTTTTGTTGAAGTAACATATTACCAAACCTGAAATTATTCTTCGAATATCACACAAACATCAGTTATTGTGTATCGGGATCTGATATGTTGTTGTGAAATCGCTATATACTTGTACTGGAGAAACCAATAAGTGTGACATTGACTTTCGCAGATTTTGTTATGAAGCGGAAATGACGTCATAAGGGGTATATATATTGATAATGCATCTTGCTCAGATACTCCCATCATTGCAAATTGTCATCATGAAGAAACTTGAAGAAGATGTGGGACTTTATCCTTACTAGTTTGAGACCTATTTTGATTCCAGTTCTTCTGAAAATGACGGTATACAGGACGACGGAATTTTTTTTTTTTTTGTTTAATAAAAAAAAAAAGAAAAATTTAAAATAATTTGTTTTCTTTAGTCGATCATTTATAATGAAAGTATATTCTCATTGGTCGACACGATGAACTTTGACCGGGACGATTTCGTGCTTGTCGACGTCATCATCCTGAACGCTCACGATTAAATGTACAGTGAGGACTGCACCTAGTTTGAAGTAGTACCTGATTCATGGTGTCACATTTAACACAAACATCCACACCACTGATAAAACCGCTCCTTTGTATTCAAGACACGCTCGGGGCAGAAAAACAATGGTGGTTCACCAGAGGCTCGGCACTTACGTCTTTCTTCACCCTCGCCAAAATACAACTTCTATTATAAGACACTGATCGTCTATTGTCTATCTATGATCCTGCAACTGTCAGTGTCATTGTCGGAGTACGCCTGCACGTATAGTTTTGCTGTTTTCGGCAGCGAAGGAAAACAGCTGTATTGTAGCACGTACGTGAATTCTACGGAATTAATTTCTGTTTTTACTAACAGCTTACGTTTATCATTGTAAATAATTGTTGAAATAAGTGATTTCATATGTTTTAATGAACAAGTTTATTTTAAGAAAGATATAGAATGGCTGTCATATCCGTTTGGAACTATATCCACGCGGATCTATTATTTTGGCGTACGTCATCAGGCAAAAGTTTTGGTGGGTTGATTTGCAGTCAATGTTCAGGATAAATAGAATACCTGGTCAGTGTCTGAAAACATAAGCCGCAATTTGTCAGAAAGACAAAATACAGTTATATTATAAGACACTGACCAGGTATTCCTTATGAAGATATTAAAAAAGTAAAATTACTAGTTGATATTGGTATTTAATTACAATATTTCAGTGTATTTCTGAAATGGTCTATTTTGAATATTAGATTAGCGGCCTTTCACTAAGGGTCATATCGTTTAGACAAATTGTGAATAAACACACATGGGTATAGAGCAGGTCAAATCATCATTGGAGTATCTCTTCTACTGCGAATATTTTTGAAAAAATAAGTAAAAAAAGTTAAAGAAATACAGTATGCAAAACTCACTTGTTGTGTTACCTCAGTTTTTCACATAACTGCCTTGTTTTTGGTGTAATAATACGGAATCTTGTTTTCATAGAAAAACACAGCTGCCAGCCATTGCAAAAATTAGTTAATCTTTAAGCATATTTTTCACAGTGACGTTGTCAGAGTGAAAACCAAAACGGTTTACGTAAATGGATTGATAGGAAACTTTTTTTTGTATTTCAAACACATGAAACTGAAAGTGATTAATAATACACACGCATATGAATAAAACACTGGTCCCCTCAAATAGGAAATCTTTTTCTTATTTTATGTCTGTTTTAAAAACAAAACAAAAAAATCAAACAAATATGAATACAAAACAACAAGGGAATCGACATAAAGCATGTCACATAGTGATATGATTGAAGCCTTCAATCCTTCATCTGTATATACAAATCAACAGGCATTGTCACGTGTCCTCGGTTTATTA